ATCGCAGTGGTGAAAACTGCAAAGACACTTTCTACACTTTTGTACTTTCTACCTTAATAAAGCTGTTCTGTATTTAATGGCGTTGTATTGCCATGACAAAACAGAACTTAAAGGGAAGATTCACTTTCAGGAGCGTCGGAAATATGAGGGGGCTGGGGGACGCGCCTCCTCTCCATTATTTTCAGATCCCCCCTTCCCAAAAATAAACATAAACAGATATCTATTTAGGGCTGAACGATAATGGGGAAAAATCAAATAGTGATATTTTGGGCTTTTGCGATAATCATTCGTATCTGTGCCTTTTGCTATTTAACTCGTTTCTGTCGTGATAGAGATAAAAGATAAATTAAGTGCGCGTTCCTTATGCTCTATTATAAATGCGTACGTTACTGAGGCAAATTCGCTGCACATTCACAGCGCGAGAAAGAAACATACCTAACGAAGACTGTAGTTACGTACTAGACGAAGCCATTTTATCATATGGGTCAGTCATTTTTTATAATTATGTTTACTTGTGAAACAGCACCTTAAACAGTGTTAGTCATTTTAAATGATTAAATGTTACTGTATTTTACTGTATTGTATTTATGTATTGTTTACAAATCTTTCACGATGTGACTGTTGCATGTGTTGTTTTAGATGGGAGTGGCTGAACACTGCAGGTCAAGATTATGAGGCTTTCCATAGAGCTACGCCCTCTGAATGGGCCATTCGCTGTGGTCCAGGCAGATTCAGCTCCTGCTTTCAAGGACCTTGTTGCCAGTGAGCTCTTCAGACGGCACAGAATTTCCTTAGAACTCCAACAAGAGTCCTGTTGCAGAAGAGGCGGTACAGGAGTTAGAAGAGGAACTTCTCAGACAGCAGCCACGCGGCAGTCATGTGCCAGCTGGGGTCCTGGCCACAGCAACCGCCTGCCTAAACTCTAGAATGTGCTCTTGCGGCCTTGTTGCCCGAGAGATGTGAACAGAGAGATTATCCAAATGGCCCCTGTCTAATCGTGAGATAATACGCTTTCAACACGATGATCTTTTGAGGAACCACACGTACAGTGCGAAATCCGAAGTCCCTTGGGGAAAGGCCTGTGATGTCCCCCGGAACCGATGCTGGTGACCTGGAGTCTTGTAGCCACGACCGATACCTTGCTACTTCAATCGAGGGCCCTTGGTGTGGTTTATGCAAATCTGCTGTGTCCCAGCACTGGAACTTCATGCATGGTGCCAGGAAAAGTGACGGTGACATAGTGCCTGTGGCATGCCATAAGGCCAACCCAGCCTCCAGCTACAGTAATGCCTCTCACCGCTTGTCCCTTCTTGTTTCAGTATCACAGTGTCCCTGGTTACCAGTTTTTCTCCTGTTTTGTCCATCTACTTGCATTTTGTTGTATCCCTGTGTACGTCATTTAGCTTGGGTTAGAGCACTGTTGATGTGGTGATATGCTTTGCATTCTAGTTTGGTGACCGGACCTGTTTTGGGTTGTTTGACTGTAGAATCAATATATTTTCTCCCACAGGATAAGGGTGGGTATGGGTAAGGAAAGCGGTCACACCAGTCACATTGGTGCATGTTCTGAGTTTGTTATTGTTTTGTTTCCTTCCTGTTTTCTGGAGCTGTTGCTCTGCTTGTGTATCTATTATTAAAGGTTGCTGCCAACTTTCTAATTTATTCTAGGTTGTGGGTTACTTCTAACTACTGGAACTGTACTTTTCATTACTTAGTTCTTGCTTGATGTACACTGCCTGGCCCAAAAAAAAAAAAAGTCAGCATTTGAATTTATATCAGCAAATACTTAAGAGCCAATGACTGGATCATTATTACAGCTCAGCAACATTATGCAGCAATAAAGTGAAGTCAGCAGAGTACCTGAATCTACTGAATGGCCAGGTTACAATGGATTTTTTTCTTCCCTGTTGGCATGGGCATATTCCAGGACAAGAATGCCAAGATTCATTGGGTTCGAATTGTCAAAGAGTAGTTCAGGGAGCATGAGGAATTGTTTTCACGCATGACTTGGTCACCTTAGAGTTATGATCTTAACCTCCTTGAAGGTCTTTGGGATGTGCTGAAGGAGGCTTTACTGTATTGCAGCATGTATCCGGGCCGGGGGGGGGGGGCACATCCTACCGACATGGAAATAGTAGCGTGTCCATACTGCCAACTCTGTGTGTGTTTTATCTGATATTATAATAATTGCGATACAGTCACATGACCTTTCCCTACATGCAGATTCATTTCATTTCCATTATTCAGTATGTTATACTCCGTCACTGAGTATGTTATAATTCACTCGTATTATATATAAAGTGTTTTTATATTTAACATAGATATGTATTTAGCTGCAACCAGCGTATACTTCAGTCCTGTGCCCCGTACTTCCTGAGACCCTGAGCAGGGTAAGCAATAGGCAGATGTATGGGGATCAAAGGGTCTTTGAACCTGGGGGGGGAAGGGGGACAATGACAAGCGTGTTTCACCTGCAGTTACTTATGTATGTTATAAAGCACTCGTCCTCCCTCTCTCCAGTCCTCCCTCTCTCCGGTCCCATACTCTTCATGTGTCTCCTGCCAAACCAGCTGCTCATATCTGTTACTCATCTCAGCATCACTCATTTTTCCTACTTGCTTTTCCTTTGCTTTTATTTTCCTAACATGTGTTAAAAAACCCATCATAAAAACCTAAATATAGTCTCCATGACTTCATTCCTGACTAAGAAACTTTGAGCCTTCCCGGAAATACAGTACCAATACAGTACCAATACATTAGTGAGTGGTTAGTCGGTTCTGCTTCAACAGCCTGGTGAGTAAAATGGTTGCCTCACACCTCCTGTGTCAGGGGCTCAAATCCCACACAAACTCCATGTGGGTTGAGCTTTCATGTGCATCAGAAGACATGTAGGCAGTTGAATTCACTTCTCTAAATTGCATATAGTTTGTGTGCTCTGTATTGTTCTGGTATTTTGCACGGGGTCTCCCCCTGTGTCTCTGGGCCCTCTGCTGTCGGCGATATGACCCCTTTCCAGGCTGCTCACCCTCCTGTGACGTCTCTCCTGTATGCCCTGCTGCTGAACCACTGTCCGCCCTTTCGTCAGAAGCAACACCTGCCTGCCCCCCTCTGTGAGACTCAAATCTTAAAATTGGGACAGTATGAACTGGGACTTTACCAGCTTATTCATTTGACTTCCTCTGCCGGCCCCTGGAGGATGGGATCCCCCTTTGAGTCTGGTTCCTTCCTTCTAGGGAGTTTTTCCTTGCCACTGTCACCTCTGGTTTGCTCACTGAGGGCTTTGGGCGGGGATGATGTAAAGTGCTTTGAGACAATGTAATGTCGTGAAAATGCACTATGCAAATAAAATTTAATTGAATTGGATAGCCTCCAGAATTGCAATTTCAACGACCGATTTCTCAAAATCAATGCTTATTTCAATGCTAATTCCATACTGACGCAAGATCTTCTTAATTCACCCGTGTGGAAAAGTAAAGCATTGAAACAGTGTCACGATATCAACACTGATTTCATTTTCAAAACTGAAACAAAACTGAACAGTGATTCAACCTTGAATAAATGTTGAACTGCCAGTTAGATCTGCACTGTGTTTGTAACAATTCTCAGTGAGATTTAGGAGATACATAATGCCTAAATTTCTTTCAGATGTCATCCAGCATCATCTCCCATTTCCACAGTGTGTGACACCTTGGTTTAGAAACTGCCCAGACCAACGTCTGTTTAATATCAGCGTTACGCATTGTGGCACTCAGGAGACCCAGGCATCACAGCAGAAGGGACAAAAGGAAATAAAGCTTCAAACTCGTTAATTGTGAGCCTTACAAAGATTAAACACCAGTACCAGCCACACATAATGGGGAAACGCAGGGAAGTCTGTCGTCGGACAATAAGGCACACACGCGATGTGTAGCTAAACAGTACACAGAGATACTCAAGGATCAGGCAAAGATCACACACAAACACAGGTAAGGGCACATGCGACAATCATGTACACAGCACAGCTATTTACATAACGCAGAGAAGGGCTATTTACAAATAGCGTAGAGCATGCTGGGAAATGCTGAAGGGCTGTCTCGCATGTGCTACAATATTTAACAGGTGTAGGGATCTTCAAACTGTCATAGATAAGACCTACATATAAAAACAGCCACACTACCGTTTTAGCAGTAATGGGAACTGCAAACAGAACTATAGAATCATTTGTCTGATGCAGAAAAAGATAAACAAAAAAAAAGATAGAGGAAGTAATATAACTTTACATGGAATTGCAGGAGTGGACTGAAAAAAGTGCTCTGCCAAACTTGCATGCATCTTAATCAAGTGTTTTGTTATAGAGCAAGAATATTTGCAGCACAGTTGCTAGAGTGATGTCTGCGGTTGCGAGCGCAATGAAAGGTGTTTGGTCTCTGTGGTTGCATATAATCTTGGTAGATACCATCACTGGCAGCTGAGTACAAAACCTCAATGCTCAGACTAAACTTATTTAGGACACTGTGAACCCATTTTCCCAGTGCTGTAAGTACCTAAAATAATATTTCAGCTTTTACAATTACACCAGTAAAACCAAGGACATGTACGGGGGTTTACAATTGAAAACTATTATACCTCATGTAAAACTCCCAGTCGTGCTAATTGCTAACCCTGGCAAACGTGTGGGAAACGTTGCATGCTCACTGTGTGGTCTGAATAGCTTCTTTACTAGGTACCTAGTGGACATCTGTCCACCTTCCATGTCCATTTTCCATGTAGCTGTCCACTTCCCACCATATTCCTGAGCTTTGCACTGCGTACTACAAACACAGCTGCAGAACTGGCAGCCAAATCCTACACCCCTTTCCTTCTGAAGACCTGCTATGGTTTAATTATCAGCCGACATGGTTGATTCTCGTCTTTTTAGGTTCTTCCTGGCTGCTAACCGCAATTCGCTCAGAATCTTTACATTCTTCAGATTTCAAGTAGTGAGACTGAAATATTATGGAAAAAAAAAACAAAAATCATTATTTTCTCATTCACAAATGGTTTATTCTCATTCTCAAACATTCCATTTAAGTATGGGTGTGAGGAACACGTGAAAATATGGACAGTCAGTACTGTATAGTCTGCATCACCTGGAAAAAGCATCGAAGTACAAACAAATATAAGCTCATTCAGCAAAATCTGACTGCTGCAAGATCCTACAATCACCACACAAAGAAAACCATGAAAACCATATTAAACACTTTGTGGAACACTGAGTTAATGCTTTAAATTCATTACAATTCCAGAAGAACTGTCCTATCTCTGCTGCCATCATCAAGGCTGTCGTGGAAAGGCAAAAAAAAACTTGTATTGCAATTCCGTTTCCGGGTAATATTTTATCAAAATGAAATTGTGACTAAAATCAAGTCTGTTAGACTCTTTTGTCTGATGACAAATTACCTCAGTTTAGCTATGCATGTTTTTGAAGGAAATTGAGTTTGAAAATTAGAGTAAGTACAATATCCACACAATAATCAAGGAGAAACATGCTGTTTTTTTCTTTGTAGGACAGTGGGGCGGCATAGTTAATAGTTTCTACCAAATATATTTACAAACTATATACATTACTTATGTACAAAATATTTTACACATTCTTTTGTCAAAAAGTAGATATTTCAGCTGGTCTCAGAGCATGGGCGTCGCCGCCATTAAATCTGAGGGGGACACATTTCATAATTATTCCCCTCACATTTCATAATTATTCCTTTGGACCCCCCCACATTTGACACAAAATATTAGTTTTATGCCAGTGTCCGACCCCCCCCCCCCCAACACATTCCAGATGCTTCTGACGCGCCTCTCAGAGACTTTGTTAAACAGCGGGCATTTCAGCTAGTTTCGGAGGCTTTGTTGAAAACTTGACATTTCAGCTAATCTCAGAGGTTCGCTACAATGACAGTGCAGGCGTTGTCTCTGTTTCTGATGTACTACTGCGTTTCGTTATAGTGTGTTGACCATACCATCTGCAACAACCACAGCTTTGGAGCGCCTTGAACAGATCATCACGAAAGCGTACCCCAATGAAGACATAGAGGATTGGATTGAGGCAACTGTGACTATAGGCCAGGCTCTTTAGCACCTGACCAATGATGCTAAAACGCTTCACTTCATCGCAGTCTGTAATTGTGGTGTTGGCTGCCTGCGTCACCTCAAACACTAGGACACTGTTGAATGGCATCTGGGAGAGAACAAATACTGCCACCACTGCCAGGATTACCCGAAGGGCCTTGTGCTTCGCGAAATTCTTGGACTGCAGCAAAGTGTGGATGATGACAGTGTAGCAGAATATCATGACAAGGAGGGGTAGGCAGAAACCCATGCAGATCTGAATGGACAAGACCAGGATTTTGATGTGGTTGTCCTGGTTGAACCAGAAGACCATGACACAGTAGGTGTTACCTTCATGGCTCTCCTTAGCTTTGGCAAAGATGAACTCTGGGAGAGACAAGGCAGCAGCTAGCAGCCAGACCCCCATGCACACCAGCTTGCTTTGCAAAAGTCTTTCTCTTTTGGAGTTCTTGAACTTAGTGGCCTTAACAATGGCCCCATAGCGGTCCACGCTGATGCAGGTCAGCAGCAGCATGCTGCTGAAGAAGTTGATCTTGTAGATGGCAGACACCAGCTTGCAAGCAGGAGTGCCATAGGTCCATCCGTGGACGGCGTCTGTGGCCCAAAATGGTAGAGTTCCCAGGAACAGCAGGTCAGCGATGGCAAGGTTGAGCAGGTAGATGTCCGTCATGGTCTTCAAACGGTTGTGAAAGTAAAGGTAGATCCATACCACTAGCAGGTTGCCTATGGCCCCCAGCATTACAATCAGCCAGTAGAGAGGGGGCTCAAATTGGCTTCTAAACTCCCTTACAGGACTCATGTCACACATGTCATCTTCTAAAGTTTCTAGTGTGGTGAAGTCATCATTCTGTAACACGTGGGAAGCAGAACAGAACATTTATTATAACATGATTTTCTCATAGATACCCCATTCAGCTCAACATTTAACCCTAAAACAGATCTGTGTACTCAGTTTTCTTAAATCTTCTGACATCTTTTTCCCTCTCTGCAAAATACATGACAAAAATACATCAGACCTGCATCTTGCAGTCTATTTTTAAGAAAGAAAAACAAAAGAATTTCGTATTTGGTCGCCTTCCCAACCCACGTGAGGTTTATTTCATCACTACGTCTGTCAGGGACGCCACCCTGTACACGTTCTCCAGCACATGTGCAGTGACATGAAAAGGGGGCCAGTAGCATGAACTAGAAAGAACAGTTTTTTACTCCTTTATGTTTCTCATGACTAAAATTGAGACAGATACATACGTTCTTATTATCCGTGAAATCATTCCAGGAATAGGTCACACCACCAGCTGAAATAGGCATCTTTGTCTGATCTGCAAATAAATTTAGAAATGAAAAAAATGTATGTTTAAATTATATCGATATATATACACTGTAGAACTGTTTTAGAAGGAAAAATGACTGAAAAACGCAGAAATACCGTATATAAACGAGTAAAGCGCACATAAAATGCGCCAGAACGCACCTTCAATTCAATTCCCGACAACAGCAGCTCATGAGATTTAGCGATGATCACTATTTAAGATATTTTCTCACATTTCACGATTAATATATCAGGCGATTTAAAAGCATTTCTAATCACAAAACAGATGTCAAAAGTAGCTTTAAAAGTTTCAATAAACATCATTGTAAAAATGCAAAGAAACAAAAAACACGTTTTCGTAAGCTAAATAATAACTTACTGTGGTCTTGCTGTCACTTTTCGCGTCTCCGCACGGTTCCTCAATATGAACTTTCTGGCTCCATCGCAGGTTTATAAGGTTCCAGTGGTAACCACAGCGTGACGTGAGTAGAGACAGACGCCGCTCCGTTAGTCCAATGAATCAACATTCGACTGCGTTGCGGGGAGGGACGGGCCCACTTGCACGAAAGTCATCCTTGCTGTAAACGAAGAGAGGTGAATCCCCAGCGTTTGTTTTGCGTTCATAATTCATATGCATGTTATGAAAGTAAGCGTGCCTCTGAGTGTGTGTGTGTGTGTGTGTGTGTGAGAGAGAGAGAGAGAGAGACAGACAGACAGACAGAGAGAGAGAATCTCAGCCAGGTTAAACAATTTATCTAATTAATTAAAATACATTTCTATGCATTTAAGGAGTATGTTGAATGATACTCGCTACTTTCCTTTAGGAAGGGTAATCTATTGTGTTATATTCACAAGCTAACTTACGTGTCATGATTGAATGTAAATTCATTAATAACAAGCTTTAAACAGGAACGTACTGATTGTATTGAAAATTGTGTTGCCATAATTACATATAAATATACACTTGTTTTTTATATCTTGACAGTGCTGTTGTATGTCAACAAGGCTGAAGAATTAAACCATTTCACAGAACAGTTTTACAAAGATACATAATATCAGTTAATTACCCTTAAAGCGCCATAATTGTATGTCTGGGTGTGATATTGTAAATATGACACTGAAATGCAGGTTCCGAATGCACAAAACACACTTTTAGATGCAGGTGCTTAGAAGCCCACCTTTCCGAAATAGCTTTGCGGTTCTCAGTTGATCAGTTGATATGTAGTTTTCACCAGAAGCTGGGATGTCTGTAAGAAAAACAAGTATTTCTGTATGACCGACCACACGGGTTTTTGTTTTTTGTTGTTTTTAGCAGTCTCAAACTTTCACTGAAACAAGAGAGCTTTTGAAAGACTGACAGTAAACAGGGGAGCCGTAAGAATGCATCAACATTTCTGCCACAAACACCTCATCCCTGGAAACAACAATGAGGTGTCATTAGATAGTGTCGAATGGCAAGGGGACCTGAGAGACATGGGTATACAGCCAGGGCCGGATCTACCTTTTCAGGGGCTGCAGGCGAAGCTTTACTTGGGAGGCCCCCCTACCAGAAAAACTAATGACTATTTTACTTCCTCCGCAATGCAAATAAGTCGGGGGCCCTAGGCAACTGCCCGTTCTGACTGCAGCTAGAGCCGGCCCTGGGAGCGGCTATGTTAATATTGTACACCAAAGGCAGCGACCCTGTCAGACTGACAAGAATAAGGGCAGAATTCAGACGGCTTTTGTGTTCTTTCTTAATTAACAATCTGCTGTGAATGTGGCAAAGACTTGGCCTTGGGCTTTCATCGGTGTGTGCTTCTTGTTCAACAGTGCAAAGGGCTGTTTATTAAGACAGTCAACGTAATTAACAGTATAAGGTAATAATAACTGACAGGGTGTTAGAGTAGCACCTGGTCCGTGTTTAATTCACAGCACACCACGTAGGAGCCACACCCCCACATGAGCCACACCCTTGCAGTTGGTACAACCCACAGGAGCCTCACCCCCACATGAGGCACACCCCTGCAGTTGGTACAACCCACAAGAGCCTCACCCCCACATGAGGTACACCCCTGCAGTTGGTACAACCCACAAGAGCCTCACCCCCACATNTTGGTACAACCCACAAGAGCCTCACCCCCACATGAGGTACACCCCTGCAGTTGGTACAACCCACAAGAGCCTCACCCCCACATGAGGTACACCCCAGCAGTTGGTACAACCCACAGGAGCCTCACTCCCACATGAGGCACACCCCTGCAGTTGGTACAACCTGCAGGAGCCACACCCCCACATGAGCCACACTCCTGCAGTTGGCACAACTCACAGGATCCACACGCCTTGGGAGCCACACCCCTCAGAAGCTACACCCCCACAGTTGGTACAACCCAAAGAATCCACACTCCTGCATGAGCCACAGACTCACAGTTGCCACAGGAGCCCCACTCTTATGAAGCCACACCCCACATGAGTCACACCCTGCATTAGCCACACCCCCACAGGAGACACATCCTCATCAGAGCCACACCCTCAAATGAGCCAGACCCCCACTTCTCTGTCTCACCCCAACTCAGCTCTGGGGACATTCTCTGCCAATCGAATGCTGGTAGTTAGAATCGCTCAGCAACATACTGTTATATGGAGATTACTTAAGTTTCAGCATGACCATGGAGGAAAAAGTGACAACGAAATATTTAACAAGAGAAGATGTTCATACTTGCTTTCATTTTGTATTCTTTGAAGGGCGACGGGTGAGAACAATGGGAGCCTCAAATCCATTTTCACATGGTCACATTACAGCCTCAGCTGGACCACAACAGAACAACAAAAATTCTTCTTCAGCCTAACAAGTCCCAACAGTTCATTTCAGTGAACTGATCATATTTCCTTGCAGAAACTGAGGTGTCTTCACCTAGGAATGCTAAACGCCATCACCTCTCCATCACAGAATCCACAGATCCAGTGTCATTCTCCAGTGCTTTGGTCTACCTCTGATTTTTATGATCTCTCAGGAGATGAATGCACCCTGCCTGACTGCTGCCATATACCACTCATGTACCAGTCAGCTACACTCTTATTCCCTCTGATGTCCTCATCTACACATCAATGAACGTGTTCTGTCTCCTTTTCCCACTGAAGGCACTTTTCCTACTCAAATAACCCCTTGGCATCACCTCAGATTAATTTTCTTTCAGCAAGAGATTTGTGTCACCTTGAGAAGTAAAGAAGACAGTTCAGAACACGCTTTAACACAGGTGTCATCGCCGTGGTTTATACCAGGGTTTCTTATGTGTATTTGAAGATCGGTGCAATGTTTCAGGCAAAATAATCTTGCTTATATATATTAAGTAGTGCATGGCAGGATTGCCCCCCCCCCCCCACACACACACACACACACACTCGGCTAAATTCCTTGGGTGGCTCACCCCCGTCGGCAAGATTTATCTTGGGGCCATGGGGGACCCCAAAGTCCAGGGCTGAATGTTTATTATTCTTGTCTTGATTTTGTTATTCTGCCATATTCACAGAGCTGAATAGATGTTTAGATGTTTTAGAGGTGAAGACATGAGTCTTCTGACGAAGCAGCAAAGACCAGCGCTGGGGCCATTTCATGGCTCTTTAAAGAGGATAAAACACCAGAGGGGGTTTTAGGAAGGGCTTCAGAGATCTCTGCCAGTGGTTGGATGATTCCATTTCATCCCATCCATCCATCCATACATCCATCCATCAAGGTATCATGCAGGAATATTTCACTCAAGAAATGATCTGGCCAAGTTAGAACTACCAACAAAAACGATCATTTAAGGCAGATGATAAGATTTTTAATGCAAAACTGACCTGTTATTAAACTGCTCATTTTGAACCTTTTACTAAATTCTGGGACATCAAAAAACGTTGAAGGATGCGGAGCTGTGCTTGGGCAAGGTGCGGTTTGGACATAAGATGGCGGAGCTGTGCTTGGGCAAGGTGCGGTTTGGACATAAGNGGCGGAGCTGTGCTTGGGCAAGGTGCGGTTTGGACATAAGGAGGCGGAGCTAGAATACGCAGGGCGCCATCTATATTTAAACTATGGGTGCTGGAATATGATACTCTGTAAACAAATGTGCAGCTGTGACACTTCTGACATCAGGTGTGATGTTGGGGGTGCATCACGCTGCGGCAGAGAGCTGGTTTCAGCTCCGGTCTTTTTTTGTGAGGGAGTCGAGTAGAAAGAGGAAGTTTATGGCCAGGTACCAAAACAAGGCAAGACTGACTGCGTAGTGCAGAATTTCCCCTATGATTAGTTTGTAAATGAAAAAGAAAGTTGTCTAGGTTTGGTGAATGACACACTATTTAGGTTGCAGTCAGCTCAGCATAAAATCCAGCACTACGTTTTTTTTGTGTGTTCCCCTTTTCAGGTGCCATGTATGTTTGATTTTTGTTTCTGATTGTCTGTCCCAACTTTTCCCCCATCCACTGCCGCGCTTCTCCGCCACCAGCTCGATCCAGCTGTGTCTGGTCTGCCGACACCCCGAGCTGTCATCAAACAGCAGGCTGCTCATATGGGACTCCCCAGGCGAGGACACAGAATCCCCTCCAGCCACTGACATCATACTTGTTTGTACCTGCAGAGCGCCAAGAGGAAGAAGGCAACCAGATTGTATTCCCATTGATTATGGCTAAATCCACATTCTTGCATGTGACACCAAAAACATTCTAAGGTTCAGACAGACCAGCAAGCCCATATGTGATGTGATACCTACCAAACATATCAGTCCCTTATTCCCCCACATGTATTCTAGTGAATATATGCCTTAAACCAGGGGTATTCAATTGGTGGACCACGGTCCGCAGGTGTACTGACACGCAATTCATCCGTTCCCCCTCAACCTCCCTCACTCGACAAAATGTGCACAGATGCTGTGCCAATACAAGGACAATCTTCACCTCTGATGTAGCCCTGAATCCTTGGGTGTGAGTAACTACAGAAGGTGCTAGATGTTTGTGAGCCTGATTGAGAGACACCTTCCATCCACTTTCTGTGACTCCTTGTCCTATTCAGGGTTGCAGGTGTCAGGAGGGAACGTGGGCAGGGAACAACCCAGGATCACAGGGCTCACTCACACACCATGGACAATTTGGTAACTCCAGCATGTTTTTGGACTTCGGGGAGGGAAAACCAGTGGATCGTGGGGAAACCACACAAAAACGCACATGGAGCCGTAGCAGATATGTGATCCCTAGTCTCAGAGATGTAAGGCAACAGTGCTAACCACCACACCACCATGCCGCCCTAGACATATAGTCTCAGTCTGAATTAACATGATGTCAATGCCTGTATCTCAACAAATGTGGTGCTACAATTGGCAAAGTAGGACTCTTCTAAAGATAACTCATTAAGCCCGTTAGAAATGTATCAAAAGTGAACAGAATATGAACAGAATACAGCCAAGATCAGAAAATGGCGCTTATGAATAATGTACAGTACTGTGCAAAATGGCTCTTGGTCAAAGAAAATCATGTTTAATTATTTTTATATTGGTGTAAAAGTATGATATTCTGTCTCTCAAAAGGGCTCAGCTTAGCCGTTTGGAAACCTCCCCTAAAATCACTGCAATATTTGCGGCAGCCATCCAGTTGTATCCATGTATTTTTTGATTCGCCCACCAGCACACCTTGTATCGCTAATCTATAAATAAGTTAATTAATTCATTGAAGTGGTCGTGAAATCTAAGAAATGCATGGAATGGCTGAGGTGCCCCTGAGGAGAGGTTTGGGAACTGAAACTGTGTTCATCTAGCCGTCCAATAAGACATCAGTAACTTTATGGAGAACTGAAGAAATTCCTATTAGTTTTAACTGGGTTATTATTAATTTGCATATGTCCTAATGCTAAGTTGCGTTTTTTTTTCTGGCCAAATGTACACTTACTATCCAGATAAATTGATTTAGCATTTTCTTTGTATGTATGTATTTCTGACTCTGATGCTGGATAAATAGACCCTTTGCTCTCTGGCCATAGAAATACTCCAGCAGTAAAATGTATTCAGTTCCCGGCTCAGGCTCTCTGCTTTTGCACTTTCTGCCATAACAATCACTACAGTGATGTGATTAAATATGTAGCCCTTTTGTGGTCTAATTTTCATATTCTGGCGGTTTGCATGATATGCTTTAACCACAAATATGCTATGGGTCAACCCACAAGTGCGTACATGCACACATGGACGGAAACAACTCAGAAACGTACAGCCACTGTGTCACGCACTGCGATGACTCCTTAGATTTTTCTGGCAAGATTACATGTGTGTGAGTTACCTTGCATGCAAAGGAGAGTTGCAGACATAAGCCACCTATCAACCCAGCCATTCCCTAGAGTGACTGGTGGTTAGAGGCCTTGCTAAGGGACCCAACATGGAAATCACCCAGCTGACCCTGGGGTTCGAACCAACAACCTTCCAGCCACAGACACACTGCCCCCCCCCCCATTTTGACTGGATCAGCTTGTAAATTCTTCTTACTAAAGACAAAAGACACTGAACATCATGTCCAAGGCTGAGAGGAGGGTCCACGAATTTAGAGGGATCTTGGTCATCTGACCTATTCTGTGGGAAAATTGTGTCGGTTATTTGTTTCCACAGGTCACGCGTCAGCAGTGCAGCCCATGAGACAAAAAAAGGCAAAAAAAAAAGCAGAAGCAAACCTCTGACTTTTTGTGTTCTTTTTGTCTGCGTGCAGTGAGATGGGACAAACACGACAGATTTCAGCCAATAAAAACATCCTGATGTATAAAGAGAGTGTGCAGTCCAATGTGGGAAACCAAGACAACATGTTTTCCTGTTGCAATCAACCTGTGAACTAAATCCATATGAAGTCAATGGCTGCATCCCTAACAGCTGTATACAGGTGTGATCTGCCTCACCTGCACATATATGACTATAAATTGTAGGTAAACTGAAATTTATTATAGAAACTAAAAGAGTAGCATTGAGGACCATGAAGGAGACGCCCTGTCTTGTTTGGGCGTGACTGACTTACACACGTGTCCACCTGCCCTCTACCTTCCTTACAACAGTATCATACTTGGAACACAGATACCATTAAGCAGTTCCACAAAGAAGCTGCTATCTCCACTACAACCTCAGTAAGTCCCTCTATATCCATCCATCCGTCCATCTGTCCATCCATCCATCTGTCTGTCCATTCATCCATCCATCCATCCATCCTTTTTCTATACCTTTTGTCTGACCTATTCAGAGTCACAAAGTCTATCCCAGAGCCCCCAGGTACAAGGCAGGCAATAACCCAGGACGGGGCACCTGCCCAATGTAAGGCAAACACACACACACACATTTACAGACAGTTTGGTAACTCCAATTCACCTTAGCGTGTTTTCAGACTGTGGGGGGAAACTGGAGAACCTGGGGGAAACCCCACGACGACATGGGGAGAACATGCAAACTCCACACACACGGTGCCATGGTGGAGCTGTGAGGCGACAGTGTTAATCGCCGCGCCACCCCATTCCTGTATAGTACCGTGAGTAACGTCGATTTCCATTTTGCATTTGCTTAGCATTGATCCCTGTTGAATTGGTGCGATCATCTGATAAACCATCAGGAAATGAAAGGGACACGTGGAGAGGCATGTTTAAGCTGTTTATTCAGTAGTGGGCAGCGGGGCAGGGTCACGCGGCTGCCCGTGTCGGGACCTTTCCCCCGGCACTCAATGTGATGAATCACGCTTAATCTGCGTCTGACAGGAGGGAAGTTTCAGTGTGCTCTACAGAAGGGGAACAGGCAGAACGGAAACATTAAAATAAGTGCAGCCATCGCCTGTGTGTTGGGACCATCTACCAACAAAGGAGCTGCGTAAGAGCGCCACTGAGAAATGGCCGGTTAGCCAGCTAGTTAGTTAGCGTCAGAGATACTGGAATGGCGCCCCTTGCTCTTACCTGTGATGATTTCCTTAACCTGTATTCCTCCACTTCCCACTGGAAAGAAAAAATGAGAGATCATGCCAAACAGAGCCGAGGACAGACGTCATTACTTCCTGTGTCCCTGCTATGATGGTGAAGATTACTTTGAAAAGTGGATCATGGGTTATGGCTGTGAGTGTTGCAAAATGACAGCTTTATATCCGTCCTGCTGCTCTGTGGGGTAACCCGGAGGTTCTCATTCTGTCTTCTTCATAACGCTTGCTGTTGTACACTATGTAATAGCGCATTCACAGCACTGATCTCACAGTGTCGGGTCATAGCGTGAGATTTTATGAGTGTGTACGATTTGGCACTCTGTTCAGCACACTGGAAGCTGCTGTTCTCTCACTTGCCTGCAGGGGGTGTTTAGTTAGCCTCTCTCCAGAGGCAGGGCAGGGGGGTGCTGGAGTGGGGGAGGTCACACCCTGCGAGAGGGAACAGCGCAGGTGAGCGAGGACCCCCCACACTCCTCACACCCCCCCCACCCCACCCCACCTGAACCCCCTAACCCCACCATGTGGCTCAGAGTGAGCAGCCACCATTGGGCACAGTTAATGGGCCGCTTGTGCAGGGGGTCACATGACCACTGCTCTCAGTATCACTGCCAATCTCTAGTGTAACTTGTCTATGTGTAGGTGTTTGTGCGTGTCAGCGTACGTGTGAGTGCCACATGTTTCATTTTTCACAGTCCCAGTGAAACTGACTCACGGCTCTATTAGGAAGACGCACACCACAACGAAATACCATAAGGCAACTGAAAGTCTTTGAATGTCTAGAATGTTCGCAGACTATTGTTGTGGCTTGGTTTACTATTAATCTGTGCAAGAGGTTTCATTTGAGACTGAATACAACATGCTGAAAAGGTACAGAAAGATGTTAATGACCTTGCCGTGCAGACAGAAATAACCAACTCAGCTGAACACTAGGTGTGAGATTTTCACTGCATCTCCAGAGTTGTGCACTACTTATATGCTTTTTGTTGTAGTTTTTTAAAATACTGTATATTGTTTTCCTTTGTATGTTGCACATCACTTTGTTGCCTTACCTGTGAAGCTGTATGAGGAATCCGATAAGGATGAATCTGGCAACCTAAAAGTCAGACACCATATAGAAGTTAAAAAATATCCCAGTTGCACAATCACAGCACAGTCCATCACGCAGAGGCTCACTTGATATCATTTCCCTCCAGCAGTTTTCTGTAGGTGGAGATTTCCACATCCAGGGCCAGCTTGACGTCCAAGAGCTCCTGATAGGCGAGGATCTGTTTGTGCAGGTCGGCCTTGGCTACCTCGATGGCCGACGTCAGGCTGGCGATCTGGGCCTGGTAGTCAGCCACTCCTACACTGGACTGGGCCTGAGCTTCTGCGAGACTCTGCTCAAGGGTCAGGTTCTGTGGGAAGGGGACAGGGGAAGGCAACCAGCTCATACACATTCATGTGCTGCTCATGACCTGCATTACAACAGTTCAGGGAAAAACTGAGAATGAAGACAGAGCAGGGCTATCATCGCTAATGAAAACTAAAACTATCCATTCATCCATCCATCCATCCATTCATTTTCTGCCAGGGTTGGGTCACAGGGGCAGCAGTCTAAGCAGGGTTTCCCAGACCTCCCTCCGATATACAGTAATCTCTCCAGCGTGTCCTGGGTCTGCCCCGGGGCCTCCTTGTTGGATACCTCCCCAGGGAGCCATCCATGAAGCATCCTAAATAGATGCCCGAACCACCTCAGCTGGCTCCTTTTGATGTAGAGGAGCAGCGACTCTACTTTGAGTCCCTCCCGAATGTCTGAGCTCTTCATCGTCTCTCTAAGGCTGAGCCCAGACACGCTATGGCGGAAACTCATTTCTGGCGCTTGTATCTGCGATCTCATTCTTTCAGTCACTACCCAGAGCTCATGACCACTGGTGAGGGCAGGAACGTAGATCGGCTGGTAAATCAAAAGCTTCGCCTTCTGGCTCAGCTCCCTCTTCGTCACGACCGAACAGGTCAGCGTCTGCGTTACTCACTAGTGAGAAAACTAAAACTATAAGAAAAATCTTTTGCAAACTGAAATAAAATACGAAAATGTAATAAAAAGCAACAGCAAAAAAAGCTATAAATGTTTGCCATTACGTTTTTTTTAAATACAGTTTAGCTGAAGTAATGCTTTGTTTATTGTTAAGGTAAATAATACCTGGAGCATGATTTCTCCATTTTAAGGACATCAGTATATAACATACAATGTCTGTTCTTGCAGGATTCTCTAAATATCAGACACATAAAACAGCTCTACAACTTTCAGTCTGTTCCTAGAAATAAAATTACTAAAACTCAAAAAATAAAACATATAAATATATATTTAAAGTAAAAACTAATAAAACCACATTAAAAACTAAATAAAACTAAACTGGATTTCAAATAATAATTGAAAATAAGGTTAAAAATAAATTTAAAAAGAATAAATTAAAAATCAAAACCCTAACAACACTAAGGCAGACAGTTGCATTTATTCTGCAATAATACGAGGCACGTTTAGTTTAAATACAGTGCTAGACTCAATAGTTCAGGCTGCCAAGTAAGAATTTGTCGAGAATATTTTCCTGATACTACTTATGTTGAAACCACTGAGTTTTATTGAGCATACTCCCACCTTAACTCACCTTCAGCCAATCATAAGCCACAAACTGACTTGGTCAGTGGGGGAGGAGTCAATGTCTTTGAGGGAAACCAAGGTGGGGGAAAGTTAAAGGCCACAGGTTCTGGGGTCAAGAGGACCCCAATCGCTAAGTCGAAGTCAAGATGGCAGCCGTGGCAGACGGGTACCACTGTGTCAGCTCAGGCCCCCACCTAACCATTATCTGGCAGCTCCCTGCGTACCAGTTCTAACCTGATATAGATCAAGCTTCGTGCCTAAACTGACTGAATCATGCTTCTTTTACAATGCTAATAAATGTTGCTGTGAAATGTCTTCATCTTTACGCACTCTGAAAAAGGGAAGGACTTTCCAGGTTTAGTCTGAAATCCCCTTGATAGAAACAGAAACATCAGTCCGTGCGAATGAGAGACAGAAAGAGTCCGCTTGTATGTCTGCTTTGTGTTAGCTAGTCATACGTGGAAATTTAAGGGGTTTCTAGCTGATTATAAAGTGATAGTTAGTTGTGCTTTTGTAACGATTCTTTTAACAGCTGCTGTAGAGTTCAAAATGCCTTTTATTTCATCAGAGACACATTATACGCATTTATGTAGCACTGGCTTTCCCCTTTATCTAGCCTTAAACTCATAACTGAATGGCTGTATATTCTGTGGAGCAGGTACAGGAGAGACCAGCACTTGAAGTATGGCTGAGTACAGGGGCGTAACTTTGGCTGGAACATTGGGGGGGTTGAGGTCTCCACCCATTACAGGGGAAACATGATTATTGGGGGGGTTGTATTAGCTGGTTTTTATTTATTGGGGGGGTTACAACCCCCCCCCCCCCATCCCCCCCATAATTTACGCCCATGGCTGAGTAGCAGGAGACACTGCACGAGGTGAGACTTACAGCAGATGCCAGACTTTGCAGCTCCAGAGCGAGGCTCTGTAGCTCCTTCCTGGCGGCGCTGATCTCCACCTTGGCCGAGGAAATGGCCTCTGTGTTCTTCGCTGTCGCCGTTTGCATCTCCTCCATCTGTCAAGGGATCGATGGGTGAAACAGAAAAATCAGGCATGTTCAGTGACTGCCTTTCTGTCTATCACACTCAGTAACAGAGGTGCCACCTGCCCCATATTTTAGGCGAAAATAAAATACCGTGTGGTGTTTTTGAACCAATACGGGAGGTGATTTATTCCGTATTTTTGTATACGGACCAAAATGAAATCCGTGACATGTAAATTTTAGCATTGTTTAACCCCCAACCCTACTCCAAGAAATTCCCACTGGGATCGATTAAGCTAACCTAATGTAATCTGTGCCTTATTACCAGTGTTGAAAGAGCAATTCCTGTTTGTGCTAGACAATAGTAAGCCATGTATAGTTTGAAAAAGCATTCAAAGCCAACCACAGCATCCACACAAGCAGGTTTTACAGATGAAGCGAAAATTACTGACAAGGATCGCAAACAGAGAGAAAAGACCTAGGATATTGTTACAGAAGCTGGACAGCACAGAGCAATCAGATTGATTATGAATGATTTATAAATCATGAAGAGCCCCTGGGGGTGCCAGTCTGGGGGTGCCAGTAGTCATAACAGAGGAGCATGGATATAAAAGTTAGGACACTTTACTGCCCTCCAAAGGCAAAACTGAGTAACTACACTGACACAAAAATTTGTTTTTTGACTGTCCCCCCCGCATGTGCAGTAGGTAGCTAAATGACAGTGTTTTCTTCAAAACTAAGCATAGCTGAACTGAAATATTTAGTCACGCAATGAAACGGTGCCTAAGAAACCCAATTTAGGTCAGTTTTGATAAAATGTGCAGCTATGATGTTCTTCCTTTGCACGGCAGCAAAGTGAATGAAACAGCACTCGATTAAAGAGTTTTTGTGGGATTACAGGTGCTCTTTTCCTAAATGGAAAAAATTCTAAATCAAATAAGATAGATAGATAGATAGATAGATAGATAGATAGATAGATAGATAGATAGATAGATAGATAGATAGATAGATGTTTCTGATTAAGTACATAATTTCTGTAACTAACTAAATACCAGAAATTGGAAAGAAAATAAATGAATACAAGTTTAAACTCAGAAAAAAAACACTGTATTATATGTTGTTAAACACTCTATTACATTTTTACCCTCGTGATCGCTGCTGAGCCTGGAAGCCTGGCTGTGTAGATGCTGCCATCGCACGGCATCAGTGAATAGCATCGTACAGAATATCACTGGCAGATCGGAACTCAAAGCTGACCACTGAACGTGCATCACTATCGGATCGTCGTCAAATCAAAATTTCGTAAGCTGAACCATCTGTAGGAGCATCTGTAGCGAGATCTCAAGAGCAGACAGTGATCAGTGAGACAGAGGAGCTGGACGGTACCTTTAGCTTGTAGTAAGCGTCAGCCTCTTCTCGGTGCTGCTGTACCGACTTCTCATACTCCGTCCTCATCTTATTGAGAGCCACCGAGATATCGAAGGATCTGCCGGTGTCCACCGCAATCATGGACACCGACTTCTCCATAGAGGTGGTGCCCAGCTTAGCCTGCAGCGTCGACAGCTCCTAAATGGCGCAGGGAGGAACCGACAGGAGTTTCAGTATCATAGTGATATGATCTCCTGACTCGGAGATACTAAAGACACCTGGCTCCTTTGTGTAGGCCTTGTACAGAAAGGCTCAACAGGTCCCAGGAGCTGAGGAATGATGCATGGGCGACATCGAAACGCTGAGTTACACAAAACAAGACAAAAATGTTTCAGTCAAACAAATCCTGTTCATCGCTAATGTCTGCTCAGCACTAGGAAAAGATGCCCCTAGAATGTTCCATACCTCTTCCTGAGTCTTAGTGACAAAGTCCAGCTCGTTTCTCAGACTGGCAAGCTTGGCGTCCAGGTCAATGCGGAGGTCGGATGCTGTCTCGACGTCCTGAGGGAGGGAAAGGGACCCCTTCGTTTCAATAGGCAATCTCACAGCCTGTTACACAGTCAGTGTTTCAACCTGTTCTGGATTGCATCCACTTTCCTAGTTGTCAGTGTGCCACCCCTTCAGTTTTTTCTTTCTTACCCTCTTCATGGAACTGATGTCAGACTCCAGCTGAAACTTCACACCCTGCTCAAAATCCAGCCTGCCAGACAAAAAAAAAAGCAGCTTGAGATGTTCTGGAGGTGCTGAGGCGATCTGATCAACGAATCAAATAGTTCTGGCTGCATAAAGAGATCTTCAACTCAACTCGGGGCATTCCCACGTGTACCACCTAAACCAACGCAACGCTCATGGACACGGACATGGACGGACACTTACTTGGCCTTCAGTTCATGAGCTGTGCCACGGATGTTGTCCAGCTCGATCTCCAACTTGATGGTGTCCAGAGTGAGGTTCTCCAAGGTGTTGCGGTACTCATTGAGCTGGGCCTCGTACTCCGCGGTGGAGGTGCTCGAGCTCTCGGGGGACATGTCTGCCCCTCCGGTCAGCTGCGAGAGCTTGGCCTCCAGGGCGACGTTCTCCTGCTGCAGCACCCGCACCTTAGCCATGTACGAGGAGAAGCGGTCATTCAGCCCGGAGAGCGTGTGCTTCTCTGCCTCCCGGGAGAGCACAGGGGCCAGCATGGGCCCCAAGGCAGGTCCAGCCACCATGGCGGACCCAGCGCTCAGGCCACCTGCTGCGAGGGTGCGGCCCATGGTAAAAGCTGGGCTGGGAACCAGGGCAGATCCACCCGCCCCTGCCCCGGCACCAGCCCCAGCTCCACCACCCAGGCCGAGGCCGAGACCAAACCCACTTCCCAGACCTAGCCCTGCACCCATACCAGCACCTGCCCCAAAACCCAGACCCAACCTGGACCCAAGGGCCAAGCCAGCACCTCCCATCCCTCCAGAGAAGCCTAGGCTACCCCCACTGGACATCCTAGATGAGGACAAATACAGAGACATGTTGTCAGGCTAGCAGTCACCGAGGCAGCACAAAGAGAACTGGACGGCAAATGACCAAAAAGCCTGGTGCTCCTTCTTAATATAGTGGCAAAAAGGGTGTGTTAGGGGAGGGGGGTCCCGGACACACCCCACACTCCAGCAGGGGGCAGGAGCACACCCCCAGGCTGGGCCCGACGCTTGTTCACAAGCGTCACAGGGCCGCACCCTCGGGACCGGCAGCTAAAGCGATTTATGGCCAGCTGGCAGTGCAGCGTTCAGCAGGAGTCCCTTTACCTTCACACCGCAGCCCTCAACCGCTCGGCTTTATCTCCGATGCCAATAAACTGTGGAATTCCTGCCCCGAGTGCAGTGATTGACAGGAGACGCCACTTGTTCTGGAATCTTCCCTAAGGGCATGGGGGGGTAGCTGTGGCACCGGCAGCTGCTGAATGCCGCACCCAGACCCTGTGGAGACTCGCCTACCCTGTGACCTGCTGCATGAACGCATGTTGCCTCCATGCCCACAAATCCTTGTGCCACATCAGCACCACTGACCCGCCTTGGGAGGAGGACACGGTCCTGATAACCGGCCACCAAAGAGACGCTGAGTAACTCCATGTGCTACATCACCACCTCTGACACACCCGGGGGGGGGGGGGACTGTGTCCTGCTGCCTGGGTGCCAGAGACACTGAGTAACTCCACATGCCACATCAGCACCTCTGAAATGAGCACAGCGTCCCTCTGAATACTATCAGAACTGTACTCTGCTTGTCCAAAACACGGTGGTGAGAAGCATGCAGATGCTCAATGCTGTTTGTCCAGCACATCCCACAGATGCTTGATTGGATTGCAATCTGGGGAATTTGGAGGCCAAGTCGACACCTTGGATTCTCTGTCATGTTCCTCAAACCATTCCTGAATCATTTCTGCAGTGTGACAGGGAACATTATCCTGCTGATAGAGGCAACTGCCATCTGGGAATACCAGTGACATAAAGGGGTGTACTAGGTCTGCAACAATGTTTAGGTAGGTGGTACGTGTCAAAGTAACATCCGCATGAAGGCCAGAACCCAAGGTTTCCCGGCATAACACTGCCCAGAGCATCACATGCCTACTGGAGGCCCTTTCGGCGGCGGACAGGGGTCAGCATGGACACTCTGACCGGTCTGCAGCTACGCAGCCCAATACGCAGCAAACTGAGATGCACTGTGTGATCTGACCCCTTTCTATCATAACCAGCATTTACCTTTTCAGTAATTTGTGATACAGTCGCTGTACTGTGGGATCAGGCCAGACAGGCTCGCCTTCGCTCCCCATATGCATGAGTGAGGATTGGGCACCATGATCCTGTTGTCAGTTCACCGGTTGGCCTTCCTTGGACCAGTTTTGGGAGGTACTGACTCTGGCTACCAGGTGGACCGCACAAGACGTTATGGCTGATCAGCGTTTGATCTTAAATAACATGTATATTTTGACTTCAGCTGGTCAAAATGTCCTTGTGGGAAACACATCACAATTACACCATAATATTCTGAATTTATATGATGATTTCTTGATAAAAGAAAGCTTGCTAACAGTATGCACTTGGTAGGTATTAAACACACCTTCCATCATTGCCTTGGACTGTGTCTTTTAGAGGTCTCGATCCCAGAATATCTCTGCCACAACTTGCTACCCGCTGACAGTCTGATTAACAGTTCCAACAAAACCTGCGGCTATGCTTCAGTTTTCTATGTTTCAGCTATGAAATAATATACCTGCAGGGTGGACACAAGTCTGGGCATTACAGACGCTATCTGACAATGTGGGTGCCAATCACCCTAAGCCTTTGCAGAAAATACCACAGAAAGATCCCACTGGCATGAAACCACCATTAAAGAAGATGGTAACTATACATTTCTGCAAGTATTATTGTGTTTTTCCTATTGTATAGACTGTAGAATATAAATGGCAAGGTGATCAATCGGAACATCCACAGAATGCTGCACCTGCAGCTTATTCACGCCAGGAGAAAGAGCAGAACAGCCCGGAAAGAGGTCGGCTGCCTTTCCCAGGGGTACGGTGGGCTGTATTCTGGGTAAGTACCGTGCCTTCTGCACCAAGAGAGGATGTGGTTTTTTGAAGGTCTGGATACTTAAAAGCCATGTCAACTGACTCACTCAATCTGCCGTCTGCGACTTCTAAATCTGAAAACTTTTATAAGAATGATATAAATAGCTTAAGACAGATTCATGCTTAAATCAGTTTTGAAGAACAATGAAAAAACAATGGCAGGCATATAACAGAATCTAGCTCTACAGCAGATACCTTTCTGTTGAAACGGTTCTGATTTAATCTTGAAAGATCATGTGGGTTTTCTTACACTTGTGCTAAATAGGTACAAAATACAGCTCTGGAAAAAAATGAGACCATTCCACATTTTCTTAAATTAGCATTTTAATGCTAATTTAAACAGTAGTAAATAAGAACAAGGTGAAGCAGGAGACAGTGGAAATTACCAGAAACCAGCCAGGTAAAGGGCAGAAGCAACTTTCTCATGCCAGAGATGACGTTAACTTATCTGGCAGTGCCTCATAAATTGAAAGATGATCTCAAGTACCATCAAAAGGAATGGGAAACATTAAGTGGCATGAAATGCACTGCTAGGACAGTTCATAACAGGCTCCTAGAAGCAGGACTGAAGACCCATAAATCAAGGAAGAAGACTTCATTAATGAAAAGCAGAGAAGATCCAGGCTCTTTGCAAAAAAATGTATATTTTACTCAGGTGCCTACCCATAAATTGATAAGTGAGTGAATCTGAAAATTCTGCCATAGTCTCTTAATTTTTCCCAGAACTATATACAGTATATCTGACATCTGGCCACTCTTATGAAGACTTTCCTCAGCAGCACGTGACCAGCCTTTGACACTGAAATTCGGTTGAAATGATGAGCTGACAAAATGTTGAAACAAAGTTTAATGCTGTACAAACGTTCACAAAATATTCATTTTTTTCCAAAGCTGTACATTGGGCCTATACTGCCCTCTGCTGACAAAATCAAGAACCTACTTAGGAAAACAGGACACATGGGCTATGATGCTATTACTTGTCTGCAAATTTCTTATAACAAAGAGTGACAAAATACAAAGACAAATTGAAATGCCAGTTACGTAAAAATGTATGGAAAATACATGCACAGCTCTGAAAATAATTTAGTCATTGTTTTTATACAGAATATCTACTTTGTGTTCTTTTGGGGTCATCCAGGCTGGTAAGTATACTATATATATTACCTGAATTCAAACAAACGGCTGGTTAGATGGATATTTTTACAGTCTGTCGATTTATATTTCACAGGAGGTTTATACACTGGGAAAATTAATTATCAATTATCATAATTACAATAGCACTGCTGTACAGAGAATGATTTCGGTAGATTTTTTAAAACACAAAAATACAATAACTATACACTGCGATACCCTGTTACTAAATGCATCATTCACAAACAATCAGGACACTGGAGAAGAGTGCTGATACGCACAAACGTGCTGCAGCAAGCGAAAGCTGGAATTCCGTTCCATCCATCCAGGGGTAAATTATTGTGAATGTGTGCTGTGTGCTGACATAAGTGCTTCCCTTTCGGCACAGAAACGTTAGCAGGGCTGACCAACGTGCACGGGGTAAGTGTGCAAAAGAGTGAAACAAAAATAAGAGGACATCATACAGAGCCGATCGGAGATGACGTGAGTGTTTGGCAGGACCTGTAAGGGGATTAACTTGCCATTCCAGGCTTAGAAGAGGTACGAAAAACAGATACAGCTTTTTTCTTTTCTTCATATATCTCCCGATAGCAAGAAAAGGTATCTTCTACCATTCTTTGCACTTTTAGGAATCGAGACGTATTCGGATCCATTTTCTCAAACCTAGCCAAACATGAATTCAGTTCCCTAAAAGCAACTGTCATCTCTTTTGCCGTGAACCGTTTTGGTTCAACTTCAGGTTCCGCGTCTTCGCTCCTTTCATCTTCTGCAACTCGTGCAGCTTCCAACTCCATGAGATCTGCATTAGATAATTCATTATTATGCGACTCAATCAGTTCTTCCACGTCCTCTTTACTCACTTCCAGCTGCAACTGCTTGCCAAGCTGGACAATTTTTTCACCCACTTCATCGAAAGTCTCGTCCTCTTCCAAGCCCCTGAAGTCGCTGACAAACCATGGACAAAGTTTCTTCCAGACGTTGTTCATGCATGCTTGTGAAACCTCCGCCCATGCCTTTTCAATATTCCGAATAGCGTGATAAATATTGTACGATTTCCAAAAGTCAACGAATGTTGTATCCAGATTTTCATCTATTGCCGCCACTGCCTGAGCAAAAGTTGCGCATAAATAATAGGCCTTTAAGTTTGCAATCACGCCTTGATCCATGGGCTGTATTAATGATGCAATATTCGGAGGGAGGTAAACAACCTTGACGTTTGGGTGGAAATCGTCCAGGTCGGCTGGATGACCAGGAGCATTATCCAGAATAAGCATAATCTTGAAGGGAACGTCATTTTCTTTGCAATATTTTTCTACTTCAGGAATGAAACAACTGACAAACCAATCCTCAAATACTGGGACGGTGATCCAGGCATTGCTATTGGAGCGATAATGCACCGGCAGAGTCGCCTTGCTGACCCCCTTTAAAGCTCGCGGGTTTTCACACGGGTAACCCAGAAGTGGTTTTAGTTTACAGGTTCCCGATGCATTTCCGCCCAGCAATAGAGTAAGCCTATCATTTGAGGCTTTATATCCAGGCGCAGTGTTTTCCTGTTTCGATATATATGTGCGCGACGGCATTTTTTTCCAAAATAAAGCTGTCTGATCCGCGTTAAAAACCTGTTCGGAAGAGTACGGACCTTCCTCGATGATTTTGTGCAGCCAGTCGGGGAAGTGTCGCGCTTGCTCGGCACCGGCAGTCTCCCCGTTCACTTTAACATTATGGAAACCTGCACGCTTTTTAAACCGCGCGAACCAGCCACTGCTCGCAGTAAATGATTGCGTGCCTTCCGGATATTTTTCCCTAAGGTCATCGAAGAGGCTTCTTGCCTTTGCTTGTATGGTGACTAGGCTTAGCGGAATACGTTTCTGGATTTGGTCTTCTATCCATAATGTTAGTAGTTTCTCCATCTCACTAATTGCACCTTCACGTTTCTTCGTTATTATCGTCGACTTCAAACATGCCGCTCTTCTCACATGCTGTTTTATACGGGCAGCATCCTTCACTATAGTGTTTATGGTTGAAACAGCTAAGCCGAATTCACGTGCAATCGCTGATAAGCTTTGTCCACCTTCATATTTCCGGATGATTTTCATTTTCAATTCTAAATCAATCACTGTACGTTTACGAACTGATTCACTTTTACGTTCATTAAGGCGCTTACTGCCACCCATAGTTGCGCAATATCAGAAAATAAGTGCAAACAACGGAAAAGACGCAGCGTTTACCGAGAACTGTCGTTTTTATGGAGTACGGCCCAGCCTCGGACGGTCTGTGTCCTTTTTCGTTTTGGCGCTTCCGTGAGCTCTATGTATTTCGGATGTTTTTGCGTAAGTGCGGATTTACGTAAGTCCGGGGCTGCCTGTAGGCAGTTCTCGACTGACGTAACTAATCCGTTTCACAAACCCTTACGTAAGCCTAATTTTACATAAATCGGATTTACACTCTCCTCATACCATTCAAGACACTACAGAAATATACTAGTAATACGTACTAAAGACACATCCATAAATTTAAAGTTTTAAGACAGTTTAAATGCTGTATTTTCACTTTAAGTTTATTTACTTTCAGTAACTGTGTATCTCGGATATTTTTGCGCAAAACCGGTTTTACGGTTGTACGTGATTAAAATGAGTGTACAGATACACACATAAACACTAAAAAGGTAAAATATATTAGGGAGTAAGCATACACCTATATACTTTTCTAACAGCCAGCTGGTTTCCTTTTGAATAGCCTAATTTTCTAACAGATAGCTAGTTTCAATATTTATTTAGGGTTCAGTAATCTCCCAATCAATAAACCTTTGTATTTAAATTAGGCCTATGTTGTGCGCCCCCCCCCCCCCCCCAAATTAACAGACCACAGGTATAATGAACTTCATGAAATTAGTACATACAGAGACCACCTTAATTGGATTATATGGTAACTGGCCGAATTAACACAATGTCCACCACAACACACGTTGCTTTATTCAGAATATCGTAGAGCAATAAATAGCCAGTTCATACAGGAAAAAAAATTGCAATAGATGTTATTTAAGAAGGACACCATAAGCTGCCAGCATGCAGCTCCTGGTCACTATGTGACACAAAGCAGTATTCACACGTGACACCCCACCCATCAGTCACCACACACAAGGTGTTATCACTTAGTTACACACATTAGCACAGGGGTCTCCAACTCCGGTCCTGGAGAGCTACTATCCAGTAGGTTTTCTATCCTGGTAAATACCAGGAGCAGGTGTAGCTCATCAGAAGCCAGGTAGGATAGAAAACTTACTGGATAGTAGCTCTCCAGGACCGGAGTTGGTGACCCCTGCATTAGCATAACCTATTAGGACTTATTCTTACACACGCATGACGTGTTACCGGAGTGCGAAAAGACGCATTTATATAACACAAGAGCAACGACAAGCTAAGCGTCTGAAAGAAACCCACTAACTACAAAGCACATTATCAACAAATTCACTACAGGTTAATAAAACATATATACCTGAGCCCAAAAGAGCTTAATTTATCCAGACTTAAAGACTGCTTTCAATCCTCATGCAGCGATTTATCATTTCCACAAGAGGGAGCTGTATCTCACGTTAGTTATAGGCCTATTGCAAAGTGAAACATTAAAATTACTATTTTTTTCTTTTCTGCAGACAGAACTTGTACTGAAACACCTTATTTGCATTGACTATAAAACTGATAAGGGGAGCGTGGCCAATGGTAAGAGAGAGTATTTGTGTGCGTATGTGCACACAAATACTCTCTCTAGATGAAAGAAGATTTAATAGTAATATTTTGATATTTCTTAATAAAGAACTAAACATTTAATGGGGTGTCCTAATTTTTCACATGACTGTATGTTAGAGGAGATGACTCATAATCAGCTGATGAAACCTTTGCATGTGTCCCTAAACTTTATATTTAAAGTAATCTTATATTGTACCTTCTTTCCCTTCACCACTCTCTGCCGTGACTTTCTGTTCTCCCTCTGTCTCCCCCTTGATTTTCAGTCATGTATTCTTACATTTTTTTGGTTATAGTATATATGATAAAAAATACCTAGTGTCAGTACTGATTGGTTTAACAAGGTTAATGAGGAGTTAACAGCAGTAAATAGGATTGACCATCTCTGCTGGGTAGTAGATGACTGTGCTTTCCCACCTCTGTAGCCTTGTTACTGCTAGCCCAGCGATTCTGTGGCAGCTGGCCTTGACTTTTGGTTTGTGCTACTTTCCATTTGCCCAGGCACAAGGGTAATGTTAGTGCCAGTACTCCTCATGTTGATGGAGACAAGGGACAGTAGAAGAGAGGCTGATGTCCTTGGCCTAAATCATATCTCTGGGTGCTATCATTTTGTACACCTTGCAGCATCCTTTGGAAATTTCACTTTAATTTTTGACATTTTAAAATTGTTCTCATTTACATTGATGTTTATTTTGCCCAGATGAAGTGTAACATAGATGTCATTTGGCAGTCTAATTAGACTGAAACCATCGATTCAATTTTGTTACAAGCGTCGTGAATGAGGCTATTAAGGAAGATCCCCTTATAATGTGAATTCGTTGATATTTTTTTTAGGAATATTGCCATGGCAACCATGCACTACTGAGCCACCATAAACAGTGGTTTTTCATCCAACCTACACCTGTATGGGTCCGAACGTGGAGACCGGCGGGGCTGAACGGCTCCCCTTATTAATGGGCTCCGGTGATGGAGGTGCTCCACGCTGCAGCGCTGTACCCTCATTGTTATTCTACGGACGTAGGTTGCTCACAGCTCAGCAGTCCCACGACATCTCCTCCAGACCTCCCAGCGCATCCTTCAGCTTCGGCGCTTCAGTTTATATCTGACAGGCGCCTCTGTGGGGGGAGCGAAGGTCCTTCTGCGAATCGCAGCAGCGGGTCGCTGTCTGGTCCGAGCTCACAGGACGTTGTGGGACCGATAGGGCGGCGTGTGCTTCGGGGTAGCTGAGATCGCAGACTCCGCTAAATCAAGGTCCACTGGATGGTAAGTCCGCTCCGCTCCTTCTGATCTTACAGAGCAATCCCTTCTGGTGCTGCTTAAGATTTAACATCACTGATATTACTGATACGATACACAGCCTGCGCTGATCTCCCCTGGAGCCAGTGCGTACAAATCAGATGTTTTTTGCCCAAATCAGGAACAGAAAATATCCGGAATTATTCGTTTGTTTTGTCGCTATTGTAGTTATTTTTCGGAAAATTTTGTGGGTATGGCATTACAGTCAACAGCGTGCTATACTGACATCAGAGAAACGTAGCTTTTGCTCCGGTGTGTGTTGATCGTGCAAACGGAAGTATCTTACTGGGTTAATTCATCAGCTCGATCGAGCCCCTTCAACCTAGGGAAATTACCACTGTCATTTTATTGTTTCGGTGTGGTAATGATACTCAGCTCGCTTACACACATTTTCTTTAATGGTTAATTAACATTGCGTACATCTGCAAACTTTTAAACACAAACTTGAGGTATTCTTTGAAAACCTGAGTTCATTCGTCTTCACACGACCGCTTTTTCCATGAGTACTAGTCCATTGGAATGCGTGTGTATTTTTTTTAATTTTTTGCATATCCTATCTTTTTCGCATTTTTAAACACGTATACACACATAAAGCTGGGCATAGATTTGGGGGTCAGAGCACAGGGTCAGCCATCCATCCAGCACCTCTGGAGCATTTTTTTTTTGGGGGGGGGGTTTGAGGTCCTTGCCTAAAGGGGCAGTACAGATGTGACTACTGTGCTGAGCACGGGATTCAAACCAGTGACACTCTAATCACAGGCACACCGACTTAACTGCCAAGCCACACACTTACACAGGACTTACCTTACTAGCATTTTAATAATAAACACAGTGGACAGGTTGCAGATAGATGCGGTCAAATGTTACTGAGTAGCTTAAGGTGAATAGTGACTTTGATGTACTGGGGAGTCCTTTTTAAAACATGCCAGAAAGCCTCAGGTGAGTAAATTGTGTGTTTACATGTACTGCAGCTGCATTGTTTTAGTATGTAAAACGTTATAATGACAGACTGAAGCATAGCCTGCTTAAGCAGAACACAAAGGATTCAGTGTAGCTGGAGTCAAACTTCTTTACTGAACAGAACACCCTTCACATTTCTGCTCACTTGTTGGGCTCAGCTGAACTCTGTAAACTTCTGGATCGAGAGTTGCCATGCTATTCAGTTTACAGTACTTTTGGGTCTCAAATTTGACTTCCTGTTTGCTAGAAAATATTTTTTCTCTAATATTTTCTATAAATGCTGGTTATAAAATAAGCACATTCCTTATCCGCTTGTATGGCTCCTTTCTAAGTACCATAGAGTCCTTCTAGAGCCCAACAACATTTGGATCAGACAAATCGTTCACTATAAATTGTCTTTGTTTTTCTGGGTTGCCCCAAACCAGGGCCCCCAGTTTTGCCACTCTTAGCGATCTTCCGGGACGGATTAGCAGGTGGGGGTGGGCTGACACTGCTGGCACTGATGATCTGGTCAGCGGAGCATCCAGGGCCAGTGAAGCATGAGGGAGGTATTTATAGAGGAATTCCACACATTCCAGAGCCACACAGCTGAGGTGCTTCACGGCACGTTGGGCCCCAGGCTGTGGAAAAGGCACCCTGTAGAGCGACTGGACTAGCATTTCGTTTGACTTTTGCTGCAATGCAATGACTGATTCCAGCACAAAGGGACCCGGGGTGCTTTCTCCTGTTTTGTGAGGTCTTTGTTCTGTCTGCTGATTAATCCAGAGTCCATGCAATTAATGTGCTCTCTGCATCTTAAGAAGACATCAGTAAGGTGACCTTACTCCATTTTAATTTTCTTTTTAGGGATTCTCAGTGTGGGATCATATGTATGTGAATGTATTCATCATGAATGTTGAATTAATACGCCAGCAGCACAGCAGTGACAGAACTAGACCCGCAACATAAGGCTGTTGGCTCGCTGCCCTAGAGGGTGCTGCTGTTGTACTACCAAGTGAGGTGGTAGATTACACATCTCAGCTGCCTAGCTATTGCTAAAAAGCCGTTTCATATTATTTTCTACTCTCTACTGGTGTGCTTATTAGGACTGGGCAATTAATCAGATTTTAATTCCAATCATGATTTTGGCTTCCTGCAATTATCAAAACAAAACAATCGAGATTTCATTGCACAATGATGCTCCCTATTTGTCTCACCTTATAAATCCAGTGCACCCCTTTCCAGCCCCCTTTTTATGTGTTTCTTGGTTGAATTATTAAAGGAAATCCACTGTTGAAAAAACAAGATTTTAAAAAATAGTTGAATTAGCACATGATAATAATAATAGTGCATTTTATTTGTTTGCGCCTTTCTAAAACCCAAGGTCACCTTACATAGTCCATAAAGGACGAACAATAAATACAAATAATTAAAAAGAGTTATTTACATAATCAGACAACAATAGGTCTAAAGCGAGTAAGCCCACTTAAACAGATTGGTTAGGGTTAATTAGTAAATAATCGTTATCTGATTATTGACCAAAAATAATCGTGATTATTATTTTGCCACAATCGAGCGGCCCTAGTGTTCATGTTAATCAGTACTGCAGGCTTAGACAAGGGCCTCTTGTTGCTCAGATATTTATATAATAATAATAATAATAATAATAATCCAACCATCTATCTGCCCTGAGCAGCTTTGGCACACAGCCCCCCCCAGCAAACCCCTCCTTCCCGTGCTTAGCCAGGCACTGCCACCATTTTTTAGCCTTGTGCTATTAATAGTGCCAGCAAGGCCAGGAGAAAGAGACTACCTCAACGTCTCCGCTAAGCATGAATGCATGAAAGGCTTGGCATGTACTGTATGTGCTTGATGTGCCCAGCCTTCATTTTATTAGCCAGAAAGTTTTTTATTTAAAAAGTCAAAATCAGCCACAGAGCTCCGTATCCTCTGATGGTAAACCTGAAGAAAAAAAGAAAACATTTTACTAACCCTGCCCTAATCCCATATCATGGCAACAAAGGGGACACTGTTAAACTGATTGTTTGTGTTCCTGAGCTGTCTATGATATTATCTTATGGTCACCACTAACTGTGAATTTTTATGTTTCCTAAAATATCATAAAGGATTACAAAATAATCAAATGTGATTGAAACGGATCACACGGGAGTAAAGTGCAATTCATGGCTGTATGATCAAGCAGATCTGTGAAGTAGTGCTGAATTCTGTAGGGTGATGCTTTCTTACGAATTTCTCTGACCCTCTATATGGGCATCATGCTTGGCAATCAGATTGTATGGGGATGGTTTATCTATGAATTTATTGATGGTGGCACAGTGTTACCATTTACCGCCCATGTAGGGCATTCGAATTCCCATTCTGCTCTGTGTGGGTCGAGTTTTCATTTCTCCCCGAGTTGCACCAATTTCTTCTGGGTACTCTGCTTTCCATCTGCAGTCCAGTTAGGCTAATGCATGTCTCTAAGTTTTCCATAGAGTATGGTTGCGTGCATTTGCCCTGTGATGGCCTGGACCAAGACTGATTGATAGTGGCGCAGTAAGATGCCCTGCTGTCTAAGACCTGCGGGGTTGGGGGATTCAATCCTGTTTCTGTATGCGAAGAGCTCCCACAAACTCAATGTCAGGAGATTCTCATAGTAGCCACCCAAAGATGGACAGGGTGAGACTTTTGAGTTAAAAAGTTTGGATTCTGCTCAGGATCACACTGGCAACCTGAAAACTAAAGTGTCATCTGAAATGAGATCTGATGTTTTTCAACCTTACTGTAGAGACAATGAAAAGCTATCCATCCAGCTCTACAGCTATGTGTGCACCACGAGCACACAGGAAGGTCTGCCTACCCTGCACACAGCTGTAACTCACCAGAGCCGTTCAGGAAATTCTTCACAAAACCCCGTAAAACATCCTTCCTCCCCGTAATACAATCCTGCTATTGTCATGGTGACGCCAGAGACGTCAGCAAGTAAATTTAGCAATATAGGTCTTGGTCCTGTTTTTTCCCCCCCTACACATGGTCGAGGTGCGGGATGGTCTCATTAGAGAGGGAAAAGAGGTGAGTGGACTGTGATTTACTAAAACCATGGATGTCATCAAGAAGGAAAACCCTGTCTCACATCCTTGATAGCACAGAATTTGTGTGTTTGAATGTTCTGTTTCAGTTTAGGGCGGCTATCCTGCCACGGACAGAACGGCGTACAGGAAATTTCAGGAAAAAAACATCTAAAGAGAAAGGCTGGAAAAACAGCAGCATACTTCCTCTCACTACTTTGGCTTCCTGAAGCCTCAGTCACTCTTTGGCTCACTCTTTGTCATAGAGTAGCTATTTGAAAAACATCACATTGTGAGGGAGAATTGGGCAACATTCATATAAACACAATAGCCTGTAGCCTATCATGAAAAGTGCAGGGTCACAGTTAGCCTGTTGTATATATTGAGAAGCACAGGGTCACAGTTAGCCTGTAAAATATACCGAGAAGCACAGGGTCACAGTTAGCCTTTCCTGAGAAGTACAGGGTAGTAGTTAGCCTGTAGCCGATCCCAGGAAGTACAGGGTCATATTTAGGCTGTAGATTATCCTGGGAAGCACAGGGACATAGTTAACCTGTAGCCTTTCCTGAGAAGCACAGGGTCATAGTCGCCTGCAATCTATCACAAGAAGTACAGGTTCATATTTAGGCTGTAGCCTATCCTGGGAAGCACAGGGTACAAGCCATGGAAACAAGCAACTAAATTACTGAAAGGATGGAAGAATGGTTTGATTATTGCCTTAAACAGTAAGCAAAGGCGGAGCTTAAGCCAGCTACACAAACATCAAACACATAGACCTCATTAATTTCACTGTGGTGCCTTGAACCTACCCCAATTATCTAGGTATTTCATTGGATTTAGGATATAATTAGGAAGGGGGTTGTTTCCATGTGCCATGGTCATAAGTGAAGGGAGTCCTACCTTTGGAATCATTAATATGATGCAGGATATTGGATTATGTTAATTAAGTTAACTGGAGGACGGACCGAAGTAACCCCTGAAGAGATCTTCCTCACACATTTATTACATTTATCTGGTTGCTAAATTGGGAGTAGTCTGTGTGTGTGTGTGTGTGTGTTTGTATTCTGTTTATATTACATTGTGGAGACCAAATGTTTCCCACAATGTAATAAAAACCTGTTATTTTGACATTGTGGGGACCGTTTTTCAGGCCCCCAGAAATATCTGTGACTGCAATAAAAAAACTAAGAATGCCAGAAGTCTTGTATTTTGTTTGGTTACTTATGGTTATGGTTAGGGCCGGTTAGGGGTTAAGGTCATCAGGTTGGGATTTTTCCATAGAAATGAATGGAGAGTCCCCACAAAGATATAATTACAAACTGGGCATTCTGCCCAGCCTGTACCCATGCCTAATTGCCTGTGCCGCCTGGGATGGGTTCCAGGCCCCCGTGACCCTGACTAAGCAGTTGGAAGCTGGATTGATTGTTGAATGGACCCTTATTTCTATTTTAGCTGCTAGGTCAGGACTTATTTTTTTCATCACTTGGTAGATATTGGTGTTTTTTTGGAGCAGCGGCTGGGGAGCAGCAGCTTTGCAGGCGGTGTGCTGTTCCTTTTGGTTTGGGTGATGCGCCCCTGGATTTCTATGTGTGAACATGAGAATGAATGGGCACCTATATCTGTCTGAAATGCTTTGGCCAATCGGGGCAGAGTCCCAGTGTAATACTGGTTAAAGAGGGCTTGGTTCCCATGGTCAGGGTTGGTGGGTGTGCCTGGAACAATCCAGATTATTCCATTACGCTGCTCAGTAGAGTTTGGGTCTGAGAATGATTAGTCTGCAAAAAGTCCAAACACCAATAATATGTCATGGCATGATGTGTATGATGTAGAATTAGTTTCCAAAGAATATATAGATATACATATACATATACATATACATATACATATACATATATATGGGCTAAGGATGGTCATATAGCTGCTATCTGTCCTTGTCCCACAGAGAACCATGAGCAAAGTGGGGGAAGAGTTGGACCACATGATACCATGAAGAGAAGACTGCAGGTGCTGCTCTGCCAGCTGCTGAGTGAGTCCCCACACTGTCCGGCACAGTGCTTCCCCACCAGGATACAGATGACGCCATGAACATGCCCCCTCGTCTCACCCAGGCTCAACACTCTGCAGGGATTTATAGTTCAGTGTGACTCACTGATAATGATTCCATGCTATCTGCCGTTATGACTCAGCGCATTTTCCTGCCTGTTGTGCACTTGCAAAATGAATGGGATTAACTTAATTAGTTCATTAGCATTGCACTGTCAGCTTAATGAGCAGCATGGATTTAGGGCAACTGCAGATCATATTTGGCATAAATGAGTGTGGCTTCTGTTAAAGACGCAGGGACAGCAGGTATTGCATAGAAAACAGGTGAGTTTGTATGCGTTGTCTGCATCTGCTGTTTCTAACAGAAAGGGTGCCAGTGATTGTCAGCATTCGGATAAAAATCACACTATAAATGCTCATTTACTTTGGTCATTATGGTCAGTAGTTTTGCCAGTGGGGTGCTCTCTCTCGCTGATGCATGTGGCAGGCAGGATTTCCAAAGTCTGGTTGCAGTAGGTCTATATCCAGAGAGCATAAACACAAGAGGCTCCGGATGCCGATACGGAGAAGGTGGCATTAATTGCATTTTGGACTCACCTGGGGATTGAACCCATTCTGGTCCTCCAGGCCTTCAGCCAAACCCTGGCAGGGCCTACTCTACTCTGTCAGCCAGTTACACTGCAATTTATTGATATTAGTCATCATGACAACAGTGCGATTTAATGGTATCAGTCATCATGACATCAGTGCAATTTATTGGTATCAGTCATCATGACATCAGTGCAATTTATTGATACTTATACCTGTCGCACGTCACTTTCTCTAATGTGAATTACTGGTACCTAGACACACCATTTTCTCCAGTGTGCCATACCAGTGCTTGCACTACACCCCCATGTATACATATGCGTACATTCCGTTATTTATGACTTCTTAATTTCTAATTTTATTTCTTTTTGTTATCTTCTCCAATGCTGAGGGACTTGTTTTCTTGTTTTTTCTCTCATCCAACACGTTTCATTGTAATGTTTACCCTGTGTTAACATACATATGACAGATAAACTAAAATAAACACTCAGTGAATAGGTAGTATCAGGCCATCAAAACATTATTAATGACATCATAGTGCAGCAAGCTGCCTACTTACTGTCTGTGCTTTGGGGGGGGGGGGCAGACTGTGCTGTGCCTCATCGAATTGGCCTGTTCACAGCTGCCATCAAGCAAGCAAATATGCTGGGCTTTTTCTGGTTATAGGTGTCTGGCCTTAGCCATTATGCCACCTTCTGGCCAAATGCTGAAGCGACACAATGATATTCCAGCTGGTGCTTGTCTTGGCATGCGCATCCATGCTGATTCCTCTGATGGCTGCTCAGTAGGCATTGGGAAAAAAACACAGAGGAAGACCTTTGCAGTGCGATACTACATCTGCGCATGTTCAGAGGCGTGGTCCCCAGCACGCCCCGCTGCCAGAATTAGGGGGGCAGACATCTCATATTATTTGGGTCATTTCTCCCACAGCTGCGTCCAGCTCGCTTCTGGGTCACACGAGAATGTAGGTGCGGCTACTAAATGCATTTTAACCTTAAAACTGGTTTGTGGTGTGAAAAGATATTATGGAATTATGGAACATACCATTTAAATGGAGAGCTGAATTCAGACACAGAGAAAAAATATTGGTATAGATATTGGCTATTGGTATACTGTACCTTGGGTAGGATAGATTGAAGGCTTGAATTTGTCATTGCTGACTTGAAGCAGGTAAGTGTGATGGATTATCTGTAGCCTGCAGTGCATGCTGGGAAAACGTTTGTCTGTGTCAGACCTATAGATCATATTAACAGCATGTAATATGTCATGCTGAAAATATTCTTTTAAAATTCAGAGAAACCCTTTGGTATTACAGGATATCACATCATTGTAACAGTGAGGCCTTACCATCTTCATTTCAGTCTGATATATTATTATATAGAACAGTGTCCACTTGCTTTAGTTCTGTTAACAAAACTTGAAGATCATTCAATGATTGTGTCAATGAGAATGTGCAAATAAAAGACTAAATATCTAGCACATCACACCTCAATCTCATATGGAATGATGTAATCCATTGTTTCCTAATCTGGTCCTTGGGGAATCCCAGACAGACCACATTTTTCCTCCCTCCCAGTAGAAGAGCAAAAACTTAGACTGCCTGGGGGTCCCTGAGGAGCGAGTTGGGAAACCCTGTTGTAAGGTATTAACATAATGGCTAATTCCTGTCAGAGGAACTGCAATGCTTTGTAGTTTTTAAGAACTGTGGTTTAACAGTCAGAGATGGTAGGCCATAATGTGGCAACAAAGCTCCAGGTTAATTCTTTTGATTGGCCTAAATCCCTTCAGGTTAGTAATAGCATATGGGCAGTGATGGCTTAATGGTTAGGGAAGCGTACTTATAATTGAAAGATTGCAGGTTTGAATCCCCGACCAGAAAGACACCACTGAGGTACTTTGAGCAAGGCACTGCTCCCTGGGTGCTCAATTAGCTGTCCCTTGCTATGTCACATTGTCACATATGGGTTAAATGCAGAGAACACATTTTGTTGTTGTGTAGTGTGTCAACAACGACGTCTAATCACTAAATTCTATGGGAGTCACTGAACACTCACACAGTTTGTTACTTTAGCAGAATGGTTTTGAGGCTCAGTCTTTCATCTTTCTCTGATACCTTGTGGGTGAGCTTTCATAAGAACCAGGCAGTATAGTGACAGAGATACTCTTCCAATAACCAAGCAGTTTAGTGACGGGGGTACTCTCACAATAACCAGGCAGTATAGTGACAGGGCTACTCT